CATGTTTCATTAAGACAAAATTCTCGAAGTCTTGAACAAGAATCTTGCTTGAAAATTGCATTTAAAACATGAACAATATTTTTTTGTAGCCAAGTAGTTTCTTTTGTGAGGAGATAATCTTGTATCAATGCAACATATTCTCCTAGCATTAATTCATCTGCAGCGACTAAAAGACTAAGTACGTTTACATTGGAATCATTAGGATTCACAATAATTATTCCTGTATAAATATATCTGTAAGGTAATTCAAATATGATTATTGCTAAATATCAAATATAATGATATATATATATGTATATATTTAATAGATAATTTAATCCACTTACTTGAGAATTAAATCAAATACTGATGGTGATATATTAGATTTCTTAAAAATTATAAGATTTTCTTCCTTTCTAGCCCAATTATTTGATAAAGCTGCACGAAAATATGGGCATCGAGCGCGCAAAATAGTAGAATGAACTTTAAATGATTTTATATCAGGTTCTTCACCAACTTGAATAAGAACGTTATAATCATCCCCATTTTGAAGAAGTGCGGCAAGATCACGAGAAAGTCCAATTAAGAAATCCGATGTCATTGAAATAGTGGTTTTTTCTTTTTTTTGAAAAAAATAAAAATAAAAGAGTGAGTAATAAGACTTTATTGACTTTTTCAATAATGATTAAGCACTAATTTATGCGTATCATCATTTCATAAAGGAGATCAAGTCACATGTAACAGAATGTTCGTTCCTAATCAGTAATGAAGTAATTTTCTTTTACGGTAATTTTAATAAAAAGGAAATAACGCCCGCCAAGATTCCAAAATGGTTACTCTGATCTATTCCTGTTTCAAATTGAAGATTCAACATAAAAGTCTTTTTTTTCTTGATTACTACCCATCAAAAGAAATGATATTCAAGATAGGAGAAAACCCGTGAAATAGTATTTAATGTTGAAAAACAATATTTGCAGAAGTGACAATGAAATTTTAAATTTCTTGATATAACCTGATATTACTTTGAAAGGGGGGGCTTGTGGTCATTGCAAGATACCAATTTTGAAGTCTTACGGTAAATGTATTTTCCACAGAGAAAATAACAACAGGATTTTGGAAATTTTTGTGAATAGTTTATATTGTAATATTGATACTGAAACGACCAAACCAAAAAATCCCACGATATTTTATTCAGAATGTGGCGATTTAAATCTTTGTAAATCGAAAACTTAAAAGTGTTCTCAGGTGACTGAATGCACGCATCGATATTTAAAACACAGCCACTTGGCTTTTGTCTTTTGATTTTAAGGCTTTGAAACTCCTTGAGAATTGTCCACGTGGCAATCGCCCAATTTAATGCGTTTCCAAAATCTTATTAAAACGATAAACTTGTTAGAATAACATAGTCATGCAGTATTTTCGTAGAAAATTTAAGAAAAAATCGGTTATATATAATCGAACCTTATACCTTGTGTAACGGTGTCAACTTTGCCTTGAAGAACAAATTGGGAGATAAATAATAATCAGGGGTCTTTTAGATGACATGTTTTATTCGATCGCTAATCAGTTCTTGAACTAGTTTTGTTAAATCAATATGAAATTTATCTTAATATCCCTAATCCTAACGTTAGGGTTTGCATTTACTTTTATTAAAACTACGAATGCAGCTAGTGGTTTGTATCCAAATCTGACGTTTTTCATTGCTCACTTCTTTTAAAGTAACATTCCAATAAATAAAATACTGTTTTTCGTCTTATAGCTGCAGATTACTATATACACTCCCTACCTGGTCTCCCTGAAGATGCAAATGTCAAATCACACGCCGGGTAAAGACTGCATTAAGTCTGCTTTTTTTAAATAAAACATACCTATACTGATCATGATAATTAAATTGTATAGGCTTATCACAATAGATGACAGTACCAATTCTAATATATTTTTTTGGTTAATGCACAATCGTCATATTGGCGATAGATCGAGACTAGTAAGTTGATTTTTTATTAATTTTATTAATTAGATCGCGCATATAATGTGCAGTTTATTTCATTCTCCGCTTAATTTTTTTTTGATTTAGATTATATGGCTTAATGGCGGTAAGTATATGCTAGAATTTATATGCTATAATCATTTGAAGTTTCTAATAGTCTACAAACATAAAAGGTCCCGGATGGTAAGTCGAATGATAGCATCTAGCGCTCATAGTATATTAGCATTTATATTAATTGGCATTTAACTATTTAGTTCAAGGTGGGTTATTTATTTTTTATTCGATTAATCAGTTATCAAGATCTTTATAATTATTAAATTACAGTCAAATTTAAAGCATGGACGGTGTATTTCTCGAAAATGGTCCATGGAGAATAAACAGTGATCAATCTTTACGAATTATCGATGGTTCATGGATCGAGTTTGCTAATGTGCTTTATGGTGATTTTAAATTTCTTTGATTTTATTTGCATCTTTGATTTCATTAATTAATTTAATTGATTGGATGTTCAAACTATTTTTTTTTGTTAAAAAAAAAAAAATGTATACATATTATATGCTCAAAAAATTTTTTAACACAGTTGACCAACCGGTTGGCACTGGCTTTAGTTATGCAAATGACACAGGTTATTTAAGAAACTTAACGCAGGTTAGAATTATGATCCCTAATGATCAATTTATATTTGGTAGTATAAAATTATTATAATTTTATTTATTTTTTATTCTATAACCACAATAGGTTCCTGGGGAATTTTTGCTTTTCCTTGATAAATTCTTTGAAATGTTTCCAGAATTTAGTAAAGATGATGTAAGCTAGATTAATTTATTTGGTTTACAGACGTAACATGATAATATTCGGTATTTAATCTTTATTATCATCAAGATGTATATTGCTGGCGAGAGTTTTGCGGGTACTTTTATACCTTACATAGCCACGGAAATTTTGAAACGCAACGATGAAGCAAACACAGTAGGGCATCAGACAGTAAGAAAGCGATAATCTTAAAGCCATATCATTTTAAGTATTATTTTGGTATTATTCATATTAATTTAAGTGTATTTATAAAGTACAATCTCAAAGGCATAGCAATAGGCAACGGATGGATTGATCCTATTACACAGGTATGGTATTGGTTGACATACGGTCGCTCTTAAAAGCATTGCGCAATTATATATATTGTTAGGAATTTTTACTATACAATAATATAGACTTTAGTCACTTCTATTGTCGTAATTACTGTAACTATTATTATGAATTTTTTAATAATTCACAAAATTGGTAAAATTTTAGTACAATGCATATTATACCTATTCGATAAATCATAATCTAATACGTGGTGAAGATTACAAGGTATAGTAATAATGTAACATATAGAAATATATCTATTATTTTGTTATTTTGTAACTAATTTAATTTACTACGTATAGAGAGTTGTTGAGAATCAGCTTGCAAATTGTATGGCTGCTGAAAAAGCCACCCTTACTATTCATAATGATTTGTGTGAGGAAGTCCTCATAACGATTCTAAAAAGTTCTCGTGAAAAGTATTTTTTATATCTATTACTTTTTATCATTTATTTTATTTTTATTTTTTTTTTGGTACAGATTGACAAATTAAAATGTTTCTTAGAGTTGGAAAGAAGGTGACATGTCTAAATCAATATGATATTCGAGACCATTCCGATTCATATCCTTCTTGTGGACTCGGCTGGCCTTATGAACTCCCATCTGTCTATACGTATTTACAGGTAATAGTGTAGTTCTTTATGCTTATAGTAAAATAATAAATCCTATCCTGACAAAATAAATTTTTTTTTAAACAGCGGGCTGATGTTATAAAGGCAATTCATGTTGAGAGCAAAGATACTCCTTGGGTAGAGTGTAGTCCCTCAGTAAGTCGTGGATTTAGTAATGACAAGAGCCCACCTTCCATTACGGTATGTAATTAGTTTCATAGATTAAAAATTTTATTCTTTCAACGGTAATTATACGTTAAATTACTTATTTTTTAATTTTATAGTTATTGTCACCTATTTTAGAGAAAATCAATGTTTTATTATTTAGGTATGTACATGTAGTTTACGACTTGTCATTTTACAGATTATTAATTTCATGTCGTATTAAACAGTGGTGATCAGGATCTCATTTGTAACCTAGAAGGTACCGAGGCTTTTATTAAAGAATTAGAATGGAATGGGGCAAAAGGCTTTCAGGTTAATTTGCTAATATAATTCATTTTTTTCAATATTATTCACATTATTATAATTAACTAATTATATGAATTATATGAATTATATGATGTTGCAAATTATATTCAGAATCTTACTACAACACCTTTGGTCACTAATAATACTGTTTATGGACATATGATATCGGAGCGAAATCTCACTTTTGTAGTTATTCACAATGCCAGTCACATGGTACCTTACGATGTGCCGGTAGCCAGCATGGATATGATGTATCGATTTATGGGAATGAAACCGCAAACAGTAACATTCCCATCTGGAGTTTCTTACAATGTAAAAAAAGATCACATTATTTAATTGAACAATATTTAGGCTAGGTGCTATAAGAAAATAATTTTCAAAAAAATTTTTTAAGCTTAATCAACTCATTAACATATAAAAATTAATTCTACGCGAAACTTTTTTTTATTGCACCTAGTCTATTTAATGATTGACCAATTTTACATTTTTCTGTTTAATAACTTTTTTATTGATATATTTCAGCTTGACTTTACAAATACTCTGGTTTCGAAAAACAACACACCACCAAGCGCAGACAATATTGTGCCTCATGAAATTCTGGATCGATATTACAACGCGTATGTATTTATTCATATATATCATTTAGAATTAAACAATAACTTTATTAATTATAATTATTAATTTTATGAATATAGTGGAACAGTTACGCTTATAATTGTTATTTGTGGAGTTGTTTCATTGGCAGCATTTTTATACCGTGGAAAATTGAAACGTAAAAGGAGTGCTAGTCAAACAATGAAAGCAGTTGTTGAGAGTTCAAATAGTGAAATGTATTATTCGTTACTATTTACCAAGAAGTTTCTTTTTTCATAATTTTTATAGTAAAGATATTAACATTATATTTTTTTTCACAAATTAGGGACGAGCTAGTAATAGAAACGCCACTATTTCAATCAGATAATGTTGATCATTTTGGAGATAGTGAAGAAGAAGATAACAGTCACAATCGGGAAAGATATGTTGATGAAGAAGAGCAAGTTAGATATGTTGACAATGAAAAAGATCACGATAAGGAATGAGAATGAAACCAAATGCGGGTTAATAAAAAAACTTTAACATACTAGTTCAAATAATTGTAATTTATTATTAAGAAAAAAAAAATTTCAACATTTGATTTTTTTTTTTAAATTCAATTAAACATAAACAATTTGGACACAATTTGAACATTCATTGTTTTAGCATAATAGACATATTAAATAAAAAATAACCATAAAAATATATATAAAAATATTTATAAATATATATACATGAATTATATAAAAAATATATAAAAAATATATAAATGAATTATAAAATATATATAATAATTTATATATGGATACTTTAAAATTATTTAGATTTATGTTGCCAAATCAAGTACAGTACATATTATTTAAGCTTAATTGATAACATGCTACTTTTGGCAACATAATGGATTAAAAAAAAAAAGCCACGGAATAGCAATTCCTTTGTTTTGCATTTATTACTGTATAAATTTTACCAATTCAGAAAATTCGTAAAAAAGGAGTAAAATTATTCCTGATTAACGTTAAAATGCTGAAATATATATACATTTATATCCATAAACAATAATATATTGATTTTTTTTCACCCTATCAATATACGAACATTGCTGTAAATAATAAATTTACAAATTTATCAACATAATGTTTGGCAAAGGGTTTATCATTTTTATTTTTTTGAAAAAATTATTCTCGAAAATACATTTTTAGTCTAATAATGCATAAAAAATTTCAAAGGATTTACCTAAAACAATCAGCGATGTCATGAAAATTTTCTCATCGTTATCTTTGTTTGGGCTACACTAGATCCCAAGATCTGATTTTCTGATTTTCTGATTTGCTGATTTGTCAATGAAAGATTAGGTATACTAATTACTGAATATATAAAGACAACGAATTTTCAATATAACGATAACTGGCAATTCTTTGTATAACAAATTTAAAAAAATGGAAATAGGTAGAAAAATGCAATTGTGTAACAGAAATCAAATTTAATTTGTGTTCATCTTTGAGCATGCATGCATGCACTGGCATATGTAGATCTAGACAATAATGATAATTAGGCAAATTGATTTTCTATTGTGTGTTATATAAATTTTATTCTATTGGTTAGTATATAATCTTGTAATACTACATAGCCTTGCTGGCTTTAGAAAATACAATATGCATTGTCGTTATCATTATCACTATGTGAATCTATAAGCTGATCTTCGGATAAGTTTCATTTACTAAAATTAATAAAGTTTCGTTTCACCGATAAGTAATTTATTTTTAATTAACAACTTTTATATTATACAGTAGTTAATTCATAATTTATATCGGAATAATTAATTGTACGTAATTATCTAGAGATGGGCAAGGTAATTACTTATTACGTAAAAAAGTTAAATCACACTATGCGACAATTTACTAAGACTGTAATATTATATACTTCTAAATTTTGTTGCATGATTTAACTTTTTAACTTTTATTGTGTGATTTAACTTTGTAACTTTTGCTGCGTGATTTAACTTTTTACGTAATTTGTCCACTATTATGATTATCAGCTAAATTGATAGCCTACTGATGTAAATCGAAGTTAAATATGAAAGTAAATCAATAATATATATATAGAATACAGTATAAAACTTAAAAATTAAAGTATGCTGTAAATCAATATATATAATAATAATTTATGAAGAATCAAATTCTTTCAATAGATCACGGCGTGTGACAATAGAATTTTTTAGCAACTGTAGTCCCATAACTATATAATTTTTTTTTTTTTTTTTTTTAATATTTAAGGTGATAACTGTATAATTGTATCTGGCGATTTACAGTAATAATTAATAAAAAATTTTCAGCAAGCTTACTAGATTTAGTATAATTAATATTAATATCTAAACTAAGTATTTCAATTGTTGTATAGTCTGCTCTCTATATAGTTACTCTCTATACAGTTATACCCTCTTTATAAACACACTAATTTTTAAAAAATTTGACCTTTATATAGGCACAATTTCTTATAAATATAGTATTTCTTGAAACTAAGAGTATGACTGTAGAGAGATTAAACTGTACTATTTTTGTCAAAAATTTATTTAGCTAGCTTATATATAAATTTATAAAGTTAATTTTTTACAATCTTCTTGATATTTTCTTAGTATAATTATTTTAAAATAAATATAAAGCCTTTGTATTTCTAATTGAGATCTAATATAATATCTTTAATAAACTTATTATTTAAACATATTATATTTGCTTAAGATACTTGTATTATCTGTCAAATTTTTTTTTTATTTCTTTAAATTAATTATTGTATAGCAAATTTTTTTCTTTTCATTTATCTTTTTTTTCATTTATCTTTTTTTTAATTTTTAAATATCTTTTTTATATTTGCTATAGAATATAATCTGTTACTACTAAATATTTTAATACTTGATATCTTTTCTTAATTTTTTTTATTTTTTTAATGTTTTTAATAAAATTATATATTTTTTTTTAATTTCTTATATTTTATGATATTTTGTTAATATTATCTTGCTCAAATATGAAAGACTTATTTATACATTACAAAAAATATTAAATTATTAATAATAAAATAATAATAATAATTCAATATTCTTTATTATTATTAATTAAATAATATAAAATACTATTGTTAAAAATAATAATCAGTAAAATAAATTGCAAAGCAATAGATTTAATTAATAATATTTTATAGTATAACTAGTAATTGAATTTTTTAATTATTAATTGTTAATATATTTTTTATATACTTTAATATAAAAATAATTTTGAGTAATAAAAATTAACCCCAATGAAAAAATCTATTTCTAACAGCATGTTACATGCTTATTTGTATCAGCCTATTAATGTTAGAGTTAGTGCTAGCTAGAGTGTGTGATTTGATGGTCATGAGTATGCCTAAAACTAAAATAATTAATAAGCATGCCACTTATATGATATGTCTTGTCCTGGATAAACTAATATTAGAACATTTCAAAATATTCTGAGTAGAAAATCAACTAACATGAAATTATAAGAGAAAATTTGAAACAAATATCCAAAATATGCCAAAAGATAGTTCAATTATATTATGATATTGCTTAAATGGCATGCTGTGTGGCATGCCAATTTTTTTTGCCATACCACACACCCTAGTGTTAGTGTTAGGTTTAGTGTTAGAGTTAGGTTTAGAATTAGTGTCAAGATTAATACAAATTGCGAGATCATTTTTCATTAGTAGCACAAAAGAGATTATCTTAGTAAAATTTTGAGTTATAAACAAACTGTTACAAATAAGCATGTAACATGCTGTTACAAATAGATTTATCCTAATCAATAATACTGTAGTTTCTGTAAAAATATGTTAGCGATAGAAGCTTCCATCACAGCTTTAACTGATGCGATCATGCTTGTTATTTGCATGATGCATACGTTATCCATATTTATTGTATTGCACTATGCGAATTAAAGGGGTTTTAAAAAAACATAAATACGTAGTATAATTTATGATCAATATAGCATGATAATTCTGAGATAACATCACATTGGTACAGCGATAGTTTTTTTAATTATTCAGAAAATGCCGCTTCGCGACATCACTGTACCAACTATACTATATTTTGTTTACGAACCGTAGGAATTAGATTACCTAAATAGTATTTTAATGGCGTAAAAAACGAACACAAGTTTAACAAATTTGGCTTGCATTGATATTATTTCCAAATTAGTTAAAAATACGTAATTCCTAGAGATTGCAGATAATAGTTTAAATGATTCCGAATCTTTTTTCTTCTAAAGTTCTTTTTAAAAGTCCTTTTTGATTGTTAATTTTTTCTTACACAAGTTTTTTTTTAATTGTTCCTTTTTAATAATGGCTTTTTTATGATAACAGTTCACAGTTAAATGCAAGATACGTGTTCGGATATTTATGTCCGAATTATCTGGATGTGACAAAGGTATAACTTCTATCTACTGTAAACTAAGCTAAAATCATAACTTACTGCATAGCCTCATTTTTGTTATGCATATATGGATATCAGAATGTCGACGAAGCATTAGTAATCATGAATCATGATAATTTCATATCATAATATATAATAAAGAATAATAAAGACACATTTCTACGTATTGTAATAATATTTTTTTAAATCTAATAATTTATTATTAATTTTTTCAATTTAATACTTTATAACTACTACGCTAGTATTATTTTATATTACTTATACAAGAGCATTTAAAGAATGTTCTTTTGGAAATTTTAACACGTGTCAAAATATATAAGGTACGTACGCGACAACAAAGTTTCGTTCACGCATACCGCAGAACATTATTTACAGTATATATCGTAATAGAATTATCATAATTAATAATATTCTCTCCTCTTCTTTAAATATCAAATATGGCAATGAACTTTTTGACAAATTATCAAAAACTAGTCTCAAAACCAATTTCATGTTGTGAAATTTGCAAAGAAACTTTGTGATACTTTCAAGAATCAATAATTTATTGATTGATTTTTTTCCTTCCTTTTTTTTTTCTTTTTTTTTTTGCTATATTTTGGTTTATTTTATTTTTTACTGTATTCTTGTATATATTTTTTTTCGGAAAACAAGCTCCAGTACAGCCTGCCTGTGCATCTAACTTATGATTAGATGATCTTTTCTTGAAGCGTAGACTAAATAAATTACCTAATTAATAAATTTACCATGCTGTGTAATAGCATTGTTTAGCTTCCTAAAGTTGAATTCATGCAAACCATTGTGAAAAAAAAAAAAATCAATAAATAACCTGCTTTTTTTTTTCTTCAACTCTTATCCAAAAATTATTGGATATTTTTTAATTACTCTTAAAATTTCAATATATAAACAAAAATTAAAAAAAAATATACCAATTTTATTACTCTTAACAATGATCATCATACTTGAAGAAAATCCTTCAGCACCTAATGAAAAAGATACTGCCTTTTTACGTGAATTACAAAGAAAAGTACGCAATCCGAATGAAATTGAGCCTTTAAAAAGTTTACCATTCCCTCCAAAATTTGATGAACATGTTTTTTTTAAAAAAAGAAAGGGAAAAATTACTAAAATAAAAACAAAAGCTGCAAATGGTTGGTTCTTTTACAGAAAAGCTTATGTTGAAGAATTGAAAGCTAATGGAAGAACTTATCCTATGACTGAAATCTCAAAATATATTTCTGAATCTTGGAAAAATGAACCTGAAAAGGTTAAAACTTTTTATAAGAAGCTTGCTAGTAAAGCTGCTGATTTACATCATGAAATTTATGGAAATGATCTATCTAATATTAAACCTGAAGTCGTGAATAAAAAACCAAAGAAACCTCAAGTGAACCCGAATGTATCAACAAAACCAAATGAATTGACAACAATTTGTGAACGTCCTTTCATTATCAATAGAGATGAGGATACTATTTATTCACCTTGTTCACCTAGTTCACCTTATATACCTGACACACCTTGTGAATACTTCTATCCTTCTAATATATTTTACGGGCCACCATATGTTAATTTTTATACTGAACCAGTCAGTCTTCTTGGCGATATTGATAATTTCAATTCTGGTTTCGGCAATGAGCACCTTTTTGGTGAGCCTATGAACACAATGAACACAATGAATACTATGAACATTATGTATACTGAATTAGCTATAAATAACATGAATTTTTAGTTAGATACTTCATCAATTTTTTTTTTTTTTTATAGCGTATGACTTCTTTCATAAACATAATATACCTAAACTTTTGGTATTCTTTATTTCACACTTATGGTGCGCTTAATATTATCATTATTTATAGTAATACGATATACTTATATATATTGAAACATATAACTAACTATTGAACATTTTAAGAAAAATTTAGCATAATTATTATTTATTGGAGTTTTTTTTTTGATATTTTTTTAACATAACTTCATAATTTTCATATACTTTTTTTTTTTTTCTTAATCTTATACGGGAAAAAATACCACTTTCTTATTCATATAAACATATATATATTTTTTACGTGTACATGTTGTACTCATATAGTGTAAACTTGTAAAATAAATAAAAATCATAACTGGGCCCAGCAAAGACGAGTTTTAATTTAATAGTTAATAACGATAATAATTATTTTTAAAAATTTTTAAAAATATATATACAAGCATTTATATTGTTTTAGAAAAAAAACTATCGATAGTTTTTTTCATTCGAAAAAATCATTTTATAATTCGAAATAATAAAATAAACGAAAATATTATGATTTGTATAAATAAGTTTATACAAATCATATCTATATTTTTTAATATTGTGTAGAATAAATAAACGATGCTTCATTCGAAACCATTTCATACTCCGCTGAGTAATAAATGGGATCGAAATAAATGGGATCGAAATAATTTGCAAAAGGTTCCTCAATCGAAAATGTTTGTGGTGTGAAATTTGTGAAATTTGTAACATTTGAATTAACGTTATTATCCTGTAAATTATTTCCATACGATTTTAAATTATTTGCTTGAAATTGGAATGAAATGTCCGGAAGATACATATTACCGTCGTGACCTGGCATAAACACATTTGGGGTATAGTGACCTGGCATAAACACATTTGGGGTATACGGGTTGAACGTTAAAATTGGCTGTACGTTGTGCAACCATGCGTTCGTGTTTATGGTTGGTATGGCTGGTGTGGATGGTACTAATGGTGTACACGGTTTTACTACGATTGGTGTAAAAGGTTCAATTTTATCGTCATTACTGGTGACATCAAAATTAACATGGGTAGAAGAGTTGACAGGGGCTGTGAAATGTTTATGTTGATCATTTGCTTTTTGAGTTCGTAATTTTTCACTCCGAGCAAAATTATATTCTTTTTCAACCTCTCGTGCAATTCTTCTATATTCATTCTTCACTTTTGAAGGCTCTTGGTACCAGGAACTACTTGCTAATTTTGACGCCTTAGTCATCTTCAATTTAAGATTTTGCTTTCGAAGTTCTTGAACAAATACCTTCCGGTAAATGAAGAACTCATTCAACATCTTCGGTGACTTGGCTTTACTATTTAATAGATCATTGACTAAATCTTTAGGATTTAATCCTGGTGGGAATGGTAATTTTACAAGTGTTTCTTTTGAACATTTCCTGTAATCAAAAGATTCTTGATTTTCAATGATATTGTCTCCATTCGATCTTGATTTATCACAGTCTTCGCAATAAACTTTTTCACTTGAAAATTCCATTGAAGTCCCTCTATTATCACTAACTAATGCCATGAGCTTGTTATGAACCTTAGTTTTTTACTCTCTAAAAAGGATTACGAAAGATTCTATTCACGATAATTTTTGGCGGCAAGGATAAATGCCCTCTATTTATAAATATATCGATCAGATATTGATACATATTGTGATTTACTCGTACTACGGCCTATTTTCACGGAGTTTTACACCGGTATGCGTGATTATTGCAGGTTACAATTATGCGGTGGCTAGTATGGTGGCGCCAGCGGAGTCGTGAAAATTTGTGATAAGGTACATAAGAAAATCGAAAACAACAAAGTTAACTTGCATACATGATAAAGAACTAATTAAGTTCACGTGATAACAAAAAGTATATCTTCTTTTCTTGTTGTCTAAATGAGGTACTTAATATATGACTTTTTTAATACATAAAAAGAATTTCCGGGTTTCATACCAGTCAGCTTTTGGGAGTTAAAACTATTTCAAATCGAAATTATACACTAATACTGTTAT